AGTGCTGGTGGCGTAGAGAGAGGGGGAGGAGTGATGTAAAGGGTACGCTTGTCGGCGGCACTCTTTGCCCATTGTCCATGTCCCGTTGCCTTCAAGATCGTTTTGCAGCCGAGTGCGATTTTAAGGTTATCGTGCGAGCTTCCACTAATAACTATAGAACAGCGCCACTGCAACAGATTCCTCTTTTAATGTGAGCGAGGAATCATGCAAGCTTCCGTTCCTCGTATTGTGCCCCTCTTAGATGGGAGTCCGAGGAAGAAACATTTGTCTTTTTTTACTTCAGAAAACAGGCATTAAATGTATGGCGTGCAGTGCGTATTGTCAGGCATTACCAAGGATGTGACGTCCCAGAACCAAAGTTTTTTTTATCGTTGGCGAAGATAAAAAGCCAACACGATGTTACGTTATTCTAAATAAATGGGAATTAAGCGTAGAAAGATGGTATGATGCTTGAGCTTAATGAAACTTCATGAAGCTTAACAGTTATGGCATCCGCGGCATCGCCTTTGCTCTCCTAAAAAAGTTATTATTTTTGCAGAAAGAAGTGCGTAAAAATATGGGATGTTATTTCCCCTACTACCACTATAAAACAAGGATTGCCCCAGGGGTTAATTCTTGGTCCATTAATATTATTGATATTCTTTCGGAGAGAAAATGCATCGCAGAGTGTTATAATATGGGCTGAATAACGAAGAGCCACCAGTAATGACAAAGAACAGCTGCAAGCACGGGTGGCGAAAGAGTGCATGCCAGCATTCCACAGCGTTCGAGGCACAGCAGTGATCGAGGCAGTTCTCGGCTGGACGTCCGATCTGGAGAACTCGTGAACGTCCTCGGTGGGCTGTTTGGTCCCTGGAGTCCGGCTGGGTGACTAGCCCAGGAACCAGGTGGTGTGCTGTGGATTCGGCTGCCGTCACTGACAGCTGGGCAATTGACGGAAGAGACCTGCAGTCCACCTGAGCGACTGGCCTAGGGTCCAGGCAAGGTGCCGTGGTTCCCGCCACCGTTCAGAGTTGCAGCGAGTTCCCGTCTGCTGTAGGCCGCTGATTCGGCTTCCGTTCCAGATGCCTGGCATGACCCTGTTGTACGTAGTGGCTGGTAATTAAGCTACCGCTACCTGAGTGCCTTGCGGAAAACAGCCGTGCCGTGAGGACGAAGAAGCCACGGATAAACATGGCGAGAGACTTTTAATTAAGACACGCATTCAGAAAGGACTGCATGGGACAGCATAATTTTAGTTATATGTTATTAGTATATTTACATACTTTACTGTAAATATAATCTTGTTTTTGTGCGTGCACTTTTGAATCTATTGCATTCCTTGTGGGTGGTGCTGTGCCTAACAAAAGTCTGTAGCAGATTACTATCTGACGAGCTTGCCAGGATACCGCTGCGTAAGGTATTAAATGAAAATATTGTACCTATAATGCACCCTCACAGTAGTAGGTTCAATTATACATACCGAGAAGTTAGCGGCTGTTGGCATACAGCTGGGTCTGTCAGACGCAGAGCTGAAAAAGTGGATTCAGAGCGAGCAGGCGAGACTACGGGATGATCATGCTACAGAAAAAGAAGCAAGCAAACAAGCAGATGAAAAAGCTCACAAAATTCTCGAGCTGAAGCTAAAGCTTCAAGTAGGCGTAATTGTGGGTGCAGCAACGAGTCCTCAGCTTATGCGTCTCGTGAATCATGTCTCTTCAGTTTTCACCCTGCAAAAACTACTGCCATTGTTTGATGAACGATACTATCGCCCGCATGCATATTTCCAAAAGTTCAAGCACGTGGCGACAGGGCAGGAATGGCCAGACGATGAACGGGTTCTCGCAGTAAGCATGGGCTTAACTGGTGAAGCATTATCAGTCATGGGCAGCATGACTGCCGCAAATTCTATGAATTATGACAAGGTGAAAAAGGCATCGCTGCAAAGATTCTGGTTTACCGCGCAAGGCTATCGGGAGAAATTTCGAAAAGCACGACCGGAGCACGAAGTAACGGGAAGACAGTTGGCTGAAAGACAATCAGGGTACTTTGACCACTAGATAGACATGGCCAGTGTGGCCCACATGTTCGACATCTTCGAGACCATGTGATTGCTGAACAGTTTCTTCAGTGCTGCTTCCGAAGGTTCCCGTATTCCTGAAAGAACGAGAATGCAAGTCACTTCAGAAGCTCGCTGACGCTACAGACCGATATCCGGAAGCGCAGAACCTCGCTAATCTGGGAAAGCTACTGGATGAAGCAAAGCAGCACAAGAATACTTCAGAAGCCCCAAAGAAGAAACTTTTGCAGTGGCTGTGCAAACGTATGGGCCATCAAGCTCATTAGGGTTGCCACCCAGCGAAGGAAGTGACCAAGTGCCACATTTAAGGAGGCTCAGAAGAGCGAGAACTGCTGCAGCGTGAAGGCACAGAAGCAGCAGAGTTCTGAAGCGTTCATGCGGCCACAGCAAAGAACTGTAGCACTGCTCCACGTGACAAAGTTGTCCGAAGCCAAGAAAGCAGATGTCCCGTGCCGTTTGGGTAACCTGTTTTCCTTGTTGATGGAAGGCCGGTGGTCGACAAACAAGTCCGCATTTATACAAATTGACTTCGTTCTAGAGCATTGGTTGATTGGATCCCTGAGCTTAGGGATCATAATAGATGAATTTCGAAAGAATTTCCAAAACCTAAATTACAAATTCTTGTGGCATACTTTATCGGAGAAAATTCGGCGTAATGTGTGGATAGCCCTGTTTATGATGTGATTTTAGACAACCTGCCTGGCGTCAGAGAACCCCTCGAGCGAGATCCTAATTGGAGATGCACTGTCGTTGATGGAAACGATGAAACACCCACAAGCTTCCGGGTAAAAGAGGTGCCCCACAAGGTTTCCGTCACGATCAAGCCACAGTGAGACAAGATAACTCCGTTATATGAACTATTCAGAAAGCTTGGATAAATAAGCAAACAGAAGCTTTCC